GCCGACACCTTTGCTTCCTTCTCAAAGATCGCCTCCATGGTGGGCAAAATACGTCTCAGTATTTGCCACACAAAAAACTTTAATTTCGGCGGAATAGGGAAATCCCACACTTTTTTCCAAAAGGAGTTGTCAAAAAAGGAAACCTCATCCTTCCACCCCGGCAAACGCCGACTAAGGTTGAAAGGTAGATGGTACCCCGACCAAACACTGTACTCTCCATCAGTCTTTTGTGACCATACTAGCTTATCCCTCACTGGTTGCACAGACAATGAGATCGCGCATATACTCGCAATAACCTCCGCAGGAAAACACTGCTGTAGTAATTATTTTAACATGTAGTATTTGAATAATTTGATTTAGTTAATTTGGATAAATGTTTGATTCGGTTAGATTTTTATCTTATTTAAGTTAGGTGATTTGGTTTCAATTACTCTCGTCCCACTCGAGCTATTAATCTTAGTAATTGGGTTATCTGGGAAATTTTCCAGAAATATCATTAATTTTTTTTTTCAAAAATAACATTCATTTTCGAAAAATTTCAAATATATCACTCTATTTCATAAATCGGCACCCTACCACGTGGTTTACACGAAACCCGCTAAACGGGCGCAGTTTTTGTTCCTGTCGGCTGAAAACCGCGTCGGGTCGGGGCGGTTTGATTGACCGCGGGGGGTAGGTACAGTTAAGAGAAAACTGCCCCCACACCTAGTGGTTTTCATGAATTTTTTTTTCGATCAATGCCTAACCTAGAACGAAAGTTCTAACGAACGTAACTTTGCGCTCCAGTATTCGATTGTAGCAACAAAAAAAATTATTCCGCATAACTTTTCGATATCTTACAAGCCACAAATAGCCGTGTGCAATTTGGTCCCGCCTTCGTCCCTAAAAAACTCCGTTTGCTACTCAGAACGAGCAATTTTTCGATTTCGCCGACTTTTGAACGACCATAACTTTGTGCTCCAAAATTCGAACGTCGCGAACTTTTTTTTTTATTCCGCATAACTTTTTCAGAACTACAACTTTTAATAGGAATAAATTTTCAAAATAGGAATTATTTTTTGGATATACGGGTCAAAGTTATTCCCAAGACCCAGGCACCTCCAAAGTAGTTTTTGGTAAAAGGTGGTATTTTTGAAATTTTTCGAAAATGGGTGATATTTTTAGAATTGTTTTTGTTTTAGTGGTATTTCTCACAAATTTCCAGTCTGCCAGTACGATTTCACGAGGAGCAATGCCGTACCAGTGGCAATTAACAGTTGTAAAAAAACCCACACCATTGATCGTTGGTTGTCTCAACAAGCTCTACAAAATCAAAGAGATTACAGTCTCGTGTTTAAGAAGAACACATCAAGAAACAACTCCTCGTTAAGAAAAACAGCCATTCCATCATGAATCCAAGTCCAAACAACTTCCCCATAACTGAAGAAACCCTTTTCTATCACTAACATGGTTCGGTTCCTTATTACCCACATAAGAAAGATCCCTGATCTTTGTTTCACCTGGCAAAAGTCCCCACCTTTTTTATTTGATGATGCCTTTTGATCTTGTTTCGCGTTGGTCAACAAAACAGGCAGAGAACTCTGTTTCTTCCACACTCCAAGAGTAGCATTCATGGGAAGAAGGAGAAGAGGCTCAGAAAAACGATTTTGCAGCTTCAATGACAGCTTCTACTGTCAATCCATACTCCTTATAAATCTTCCCCGCCGGAGCACTGGCGCCGAACTTATCGATACCAATGGCTTTCCCCTTGTCTCCCACAAACTTCTGCCACCCAAATGTGGATGCAGCCTCAATGCTGACCCTAGCCGTTACACCTGCCGGGAAAACGCTCTCCTTGTACTCATCACTCTGCTTATCGTACAATTCCCACGAAACCAAAGACACGACTCGAACCGCCTTCCCTTCCTTCCTCAGTTCATCTCCAGCCTTCGCCGCGATCTCCAACTCCGAACCTGTCCCGGCAAGAATGACATCCGGTTTGTTCCCTGTCGAATTGTCAGAGATCACGTACCCTCCCTTGGCGACGCCCTCGATCGATGTTCCCGGAAGCTGGGGCAGCTTCTGCCTCGAGAGGGCGAGGATGGAAGGCGTCTTTCGGCTCTCCACTGCGATTTTGTACGCTCCGGCGGTCTCGTTCCCATCAGCCGGCCGGAACATGAAGATGTTCGGCATTGCCCTGAAGCTGGCAATGTGCTCGATGGGCTGATGGGTCGGCCCATCTTCTCCAAGCCCAATTGAATCGTGGGTCATCACGTAGATCACTCCTGCTTCCGACAATGCTGAGATTCTCATGGCTCCTCTCATGTAGTCGGTGAAGACGAAGAATGTGGCGCAGTAAGGGATGAATCCCGGGCTGTGGAGTGCTATCCCATTGCAGATGGCGCCCATACCGTGTTCACGTACTCCGAACCGGAGGTTTCGTTCCTCGGGAGTGGACTTCTGGAAGTCGCCAAAGGCTTTCATCAGTGTCATGTTGGAGGAAGCGAGATCAGCACTTCCTCCAAGGAAGCCGGGGAGAACCGTGGCGAGTGCGTTCAGGTTTTGTTGCGAGAGGTTTCGTGTTGCGTCTGCAGCGCTCTCGGGGGTGTAAGTTGGGAGTGCGGATTCCCAACCGGATGGGAGTTCACCGGTCGTGATGGATTTCAATTCTGCTGCTTCCTCCGGGTACTTCTTCGAATACTCGGCGAATTTCGCGTTCCATTCGGCTTCAAGTGCTGCTCCTTCTGGAGTGTGGCGACTCCAATGCCTGTAGGGGAAAAGCACAAACAAGAAGGCATTGAGTTGAAGTTGATATTTTTTGTGTTCTGAAATCATGAAGAGAAATGATTATCTTGCATTCATCTTACTTCTTAACATCCTCCGGAACGTGGAATGGCTCGAAGGGCCAGCCGAGGTTCTGCCTCGTGGCTTCAACTTCTTTAGAACCTAATGCAGCTCCATGGACACTGTATGAGTTCGCCTTGTTTGGTGATCCAAAACCAATGGTAGTAGTGACCTGCAATTGTCATAACTAAGTAAGCAGCAGAAAGGAGAAGACAATTCCTCCAGCCAGGTATAATCATAACTGTGAAAACAAAAACATTAACCTTGATCATGGTTGGCTTGTCTTTGACAGCCTTTGCCTCCTCAATGGCAGCTCTGATCTCATCATACCCAGTGTTACCATTCTTCACCCAGATCACATGCCATCCGAGCGCCTCGAAACGAGCATCAACATTCTCGGTGAATGCAATCTCTGTGTCTCCATCAATCGAGATGTGATTGTCGTCGTAGAAAGCAATGAGCTTGCCGAGTCCCCAATGCCCGGCAAGGGAACATGCCTCATTTGCAATTCCCTCCATTTGGCATCCATCTCCAAGAATCACATACCTTTACATCAAAACATCATTTACCTTGAGTCATTTCAATCTAACAGACAAACCATTACATTACCAAAGACATTCATCAATTCAATCGAATCATATTACGTGTAGTGATCGACAATCTCTGCATCGGGTTTGTTGTATCTTGCAGCCAAGTGCTTCTCGGCAAGAGCCAAACCAACAGCATTGGCAATTCCCTGACCCAAAGGACCTACAGCAAAAGGGGAAACCAAAAGCAACCCATGATTCCTTTATTCATACAGCTAGATTTCAAGTTCAGTCCAGTTGTGTGCCGATAGCTGAAACACAGGAAAAGGGTATTTCATTTTCAAACCAGTGGTGACTTCAACTCCAGGTGTTTCAAAGTTCTCAGGATGGCCAGGGGTCTGACTTCCCCATTGACGAAACTGCTTCAAATCTTCCTCCTGAAATCATCAAGCCATCCAACAATTGCAGTAAGTTAAAAAAGACCACGAGGGAACAAAACCCATCTTCCAATTTCCATTCCACATTACACAATTCAGGAGCCAACAAATTACCTAATACACTAAATCACTAATCCAATCCAATCTAACCCAAAAGGGGAAATGAGACAATCAATGTCAGGGAAACTCTCATACCTTCACGGCGTCGTAGCCAGCAAGGTGAAGCAGGGCGTACTGCAGCATGCAGCCGTGCCCAGCTGACAGAACAAACCTATCCCTGTTGAACCAGTAAGGGTTCTTGGGGTTGTACCTCATGACCTCATCATACAATATGTGACCCATCGGGGCGCAACCCATGGGCAGACCCGGGTGGCCGGAATTCGCCTTCTCCACAGCATCAATCGCCAGAAACCTAATCGTGTTCACCGATTTCTCCACCAACTCGGTGTCGGTCTTCTGCAGAGTCTCCACGGCCGCCGCGCGGACAACAGCACAGGATGATCTCGATCGGGTCGAGCGACGGCGGGAGGAAGAGGCGGCGGCTCTGGCGGAAGGGAGGGAAGGCTTGACGGCGGAGAGGAAGGAGAGGGAGTGAGGCGGGAGGGCCGAATTGTGGGTCGCTGGGTGATTGGGAATCGCTCGGGAGAGAAGGGATTGGGAGAATGTGGAAGAAGCCGAAGCCGCCATGGCTGCTGTGGAGGAGGAGGAAGAGAATTGGGGTTGGGAGAGTGGTGGTGTGTGGCTTTCGGGTCGTCTCTGTTTTAGCTTTTGGTGGGTTTTGTGGATTTATTAATGGATGATATGGGTTGTGGTGTGCGTTATGATTTGGTTCTTGAAAGTTTGGATATTTTTGGTTGGACGGTTTTCTGGCGATCGCCGGTGACGGAGGAAGAAGAGAACAAAAGAGGGGAAGAGAAAAGGCGATTAGGCGACGGTTAGATTGGGATAGAATGGTCAAGTGGAAGTGTGGATGAGAGCCGTTTAGTTTGGGTAGGAAACGATTGACTTCTGATTTTTTGCTACCAATTTTCCTTTTTCTATTTTATTTATTTATTTTTATGACTTGGAATATCCGTTTTGGTTCTCTCTTTACAGAAGTTGATATCTCATATTTGTGAATTGATCTCTCTGTGTAATGGCCTAGGTAGTGATTAAGCCAAAGTTTTAAGGGTAGGATGGGATACGGTGACAACCCCTAAGGGCTCTAAGGGATGTTGGATTCAAAACTAAGGGTATTTTGGGTATGAAAATATGAATATATTAATTACCTTTTTTGTATTAACTATATTGGGAATTAAAAATCCATATTAAATACAATTTTTTTTAATTTAAATCATATACATTAATATCTCTATCTATTTCTCTCTCTCTTCCTTTCTCCAGCGGCCACTCCGCATGGACCGACAAACTTTTTCTCCGGCGAATTCTCTCCGGCAGACTCCCTCCGGCAACCTGAAAAAATGTATCAGTGCGTTAAAAAGTGTACCAATCTATTAGTCTACTGGTAATTAATATACCAGTGCTAGTGGTACGCTACCAGTACGTTAAAAAATGTACCAGTATTAGCGGTACCAGTAAAAAATGTATCAGTACTAGTGGTAGCGCTACCAGTACAACGGTACCACTACCATATTGGTAGCGATACCACTAGAGAATAACACAACGCTACTAGCAGTGGTAGCGCTACCACTAGCATTGGTAGCAGTACCAGTAGAGAATAACAAAAAAAAAAAAAAAAAACAGATGATAGTGGTACCAGATGATAGGGGAGCCACTGGTATTGGTATCAGTGAGTAGTGGTAGCGTACCAATAGCGCTACCAGTGATATTGGTACCAGTAGAGACTAAAACAAAAAATCAGATCGCCGTCCCTCCCACGGCGCATGGAACCAACCCAATCGCACCACTACCGCCGCTGCACAACCGATCCCTCACGGAATTCGCGAACGACATGTCGAGGCCCACCCCGCACGCTTTCCCCGCGTCGATGTCGGCGTGGAGTGGGACTGCCGCCGTCTCCCAGCGGAGATCGGCTGAGAGACAGAGGATTGCAGGGTGAGATTCGCACTCCGGCGACACGATCCCGTCCCAGATCTTTTTGTGGTGGTTGGCGATTACGCCGCCGCAGCCGGCCATGTTGCTCTGGCCCGATAGGATGAAGACCTGCGACGGTGAATCCTACGGGAGAGAGGGAGGAGAGAGAGAGGGAGGATGGAGGAGTTAGGGTTTTTGTTATTTTTATATGGTAGGGTGAATGATTGGGTGTGGTAAATTTTTATCTTTCCAAAAATATCCTTCCTTTAATCTTAACCGTTAATTTTTTTAAAAAAAAGAGACAGGAGAGAGAACGTATCCAAGGGCTATGAAGTGGGTTGTGAATCTGACAACCCTTTTAAGGGGTTGTCAACGTAACTCGTCCATACAAGGATTAGTGGCTAACAATGGGCATTCAATAGCTTTGTTGGGGAAAAAACAATCTAAGAAGATTATTAATAAGGATAAAGATTATTGTCTTGATGTATACAGATAAAGATGTATTAACATCTTAACTATACTGAAGAATGAAGTAGAAATGGAAGACGTGATTAGATAGTTGACAATTGAGGTTATTTAAGGTCGTGATGAGGAGTGTGATTCTACATTGAAGTCCAATTCTCATGTAATTTGTCATTCAAGGCAAATGACGAAGCTATAAGGGTTGTAGGCAAACTTTACTAACAAGTGAAAATGACGACAAATGGGAGGCTGAAGTAGATGAGCTTCGACAACAGCGTAGTTGCAGGGGTGGGAGTTGAAGAAATGAGAAAGGAAGGACGCCGAAGGTAGGAAAAACGAGAATGGAGGAGAAGTGACAATGAATTAGGGATGGAAAATTCGTAGAACGAAAGACTCGAAGCATAGCTTGACTAAAAAACAAATAAACATGTGTAATTTTTTCTCTCTTGGGCAGTGAGCCAAACCTAACCTAATTTGGCAGCGTGTGCAACGTTTTGTTCTAGAGCGTATCGCATCGGGCCAAATCGATATCGAGAGGACCAAACCTATCGAATATAAAATTGATTCGGTCCTATGAATTTTATATACAAAAGTAAAATGAGGGTGAGTGATATTTGGACCGGATCAAACTGGACCACACTAAACCGATTGCAATGTCGGTCCGATCCATGATCCTATATTTTTTCATTTTTGAACCTAAAATCTAAAGATTTGGTTCGGTTCGAACCCGAAAATTGCACACTTCTACAATATTATTATAATACCCGGATATCAAAAGGCTAACAAAGGATGTAAAAGTCAGCTTCTAGGCTTTTGACTTGGTTTTTTAGCAAAAAAAAAAAAACTTTTTAATAAAAGTTATAATATTTTGGGTTTAAAACGTAAAAGTGTAGACTTTAAATCTTTAAACCTAGCTTTTAACTGCATTGCTCTCTCATCAATAAGTATCTCGAAACTCATTTAATCTGCCGTTCCAAAATCATTATCTGATCTTGCGGAGGACTGTAAAACAATCAGAAGTGTGTCCTCTATTGGTTAGCAAGTGTTCATTGATACAAAATCGTCTTCTATAACAACTAACAAGATAGGGGAATGAGGTTGGAATACCAATGAGCAACAAACCGCTCATCCACGGAGGCAATGAATGTTGAAGATAAGGGCTCCCATGTCACTCTACAACGCCCACATTACTTCCCACAAATTCAGTTGCATCAACTGATTTTTGAGTGCCAAGAAACTAAAGTGTGTCGAGAAAGTTGGGCTTGGATTTTTGGCTGGATTTGGATAAAGTTAAGCCTCTACTGACAAATAGGTAGCCTTACTTAGTTGGGCTCTTGGCAAAGCCCAATATTTGGACTGAATCCTAATTTAAGATGAACCGGGGAAAAGGCACAGGAAGGCTGCACGATCTGGAGCCCAAACCTCTGAAGCCGGCACAAAAACAAGCCCGAGCCTAGCCCTTTGTTTGCAAGGGAAGCAATACCTTTTCCCCCCCTTCTTTTTGGTCGAAGGGAAGCAATTCTTTGATCTTTGGTTTAGAAGAAGAAAAAAAAAATCAAAAGTTGGTTTGTTCTTGACTTCTTGTAAGTTGCAACTAGTTCTGTGTATGTGGATGAGTAACAAATTCTCTGATGTCTTATTGCAAGGAATTTATCGGATCGCGAAAGTATGACAACGAGTTGGATTGAGGTGGATAATAACTATCCATTATTCTTTCCTAATTTGTTCGGATTTTATTCACACTTATACTCATGCAATATTCATATAATAAATTGACACCAAATTGGATTTGATTTAAACTCAACTGATGTCCATAATTATTAAAAGTATATTTCGATTCATTTGGGTCCGACCCAATACCCATGCATATCCTGAAACTTGAGTCAAACCTACTACAACTTTTTTTTAACATCTACTACTATTTTTAGCTCCAACTGTAACTATATACCAATTATTGATGTATGAGTTTACTTTAATTAGGCTCCAACATGCATTGTCTGTCCTCGTATTCATGGCCAGCCCTAACTCCTAAGATTAAGGAGGCCCTATTCTATCGAAAAAATGAGACCCAATTTTTTTTAATATGATAAATAGAGAAAAAATTGCAACAATCAATCATTAAAAATTATTTTCATTTGGGTCTCGCTTGGATTCAAACTTGGGATATGCAAATCCCAAACCTTCACTGTCGCGACAAAGCTGGTAATCTTTTAGTCTAAAGTATGAAAAGAACTATTTGTAATTGGTTTTTTTTTCCTTTTCTCGTTTTTTACCGTTTATGGCTTGTATCTTATTCTGATTAACTTTTAATAAATCAATGGGATGATTTAATTAAGTTAGCATTGTTGACTTGCTGGTACAAGCAGATAAATTGTTGAAATTGAATTCTTTTTATCCTTGGAAAGCTAAAAATAAAGAAATTTGAAGCAAAAAATTTAATAATACTACTAATAAGGAAATATCAACAATCTAACCTCTCTTATTCTCTCTGTAAAACAGATGACAAATAATAAGCTATGTTATATGATTAAAAAAATATAACGAGAAAGCAAGTTTACTTGTCATGTGGTTCATTCGTTTGTTTAGCCTTTAGGTTTAAATTTTTTCATATGATCAGTTTAGACTCATAATTAGAACCAAATATATTAATTTTTTATTATTTCAAATCCATAATTAAAATCATATAATAATTATTCATATACACAATAGAGGTTCAGAGATCCTCAAAATTTGAAGGCCTTGGTGCCGAATGATTTGCTGGCACACCCTCAGGACCGACCTTGATCGTATCAATGTGGTAATATTATGATATGATAATGATACGTGATTGTTATTTGTTATGCATAATATTGGACACAACAATACCACGTCGAAGGTCAATTCTTACAACTGTTTGATCCATGCAAAATCAAAGCAACTTCTTTATTTGCCACTGTCGACGATTGCCAATACATCAAAGCGATATATCGAGAACCCACAACCACAATCTTAATTCGACCTTCGCGACGTCATACGTAGAAGAGCGATTCTCTAAAATTCCAAATTTCCAAATCCACCACCTTAATTAATATTTGTTTCCTATTTCCACGTCACATTCTATATACGTACGTGGGATTCAAGGTCGACCTATCGATGTCTATGTTATCATTATTATTATTATTATTATTATTATTATTATTATTATCAAAAGGTTCTTCTGGGAAGGCAGCTATAGCTAGCTGGTGTGCATGGCTGCATCTTCCCCAGCCATCTCTTTCCCAACGTGTAAACTTCAGTCCTAGCCATAGCTAAGCTCCAACTGTTTGTCTAACGTAATCCAGCTTGCCTACAGAGGATTGTGAGCTAGCTTTGATGCCTTGATCATCTCCCACTTGCAATCGAACCACGTCATAACCACTAATAACTTATTAACTCCTGGCCCTACGGACGTACCCAAAGCCAAATATTTTGGAGGGTGATTCCCATTAAAATTAAGTATTAATTTGTTTGATATGTTTGATTGGTTTTGAGTGGGCATGACTACTCTAATCAATTTGATTCATTTTATTCTTGACTCGTTTACCTATATTATATGTAATTTTGTTCACATTACTTAGAACTTTACTCTTATTACATAGTATTAGATGTAGTAAAGTTGTAAGAAGATGAGAATCTCAGATTCTCAAATAATTTTCACTACACTTATCGCGTGGTCATAGTTTGTTTCTCAATTTTAGATGAAAGAAAGTAATATTTCGAGTATTTTTCTTTAAAATGCATACTCGTATGTATCGATCTGGCCAACTTATATCGCAATACAAAATACCCGACATGGATACGATTTGTCACAAAATGAATATGGATGTCGAGATATCCTAATTAAAATTGTTTTTCTTACTTGAAATATGGAAATTGCTACATAGTAAGACGTTGGAAGCAATCATAAAGAAAGAAAACAAAAGCTACGAGATTTAACCAAGTAAGCTAACGTTTATGATAAATTAATGTGTTATAAGTATAATATGTTCATCTACTATGTATTTTTCATAAAAAACAAGTTGCTTCCAATAACTTGAGTCGTTGGGAGAGGTTCAATCGTGGATCATATATCGTTAATTAACACACCCCTCAAACTCAAGCCACTCAGATAGGCTTGGAGTTTGCAGGCACAGGTCCGGACACCATGTGCTTAACAAAACCGGAAATAGATAGGGGTCATCGGGATTCGAACAAAATAGCTCTCGCTCAAAGAAGGCTCTGATACCATATCAAGAATCAATTGATCTCAATAAATCGAGTTGTTGGAAGAGGTTCAATCATGGATCGTATATCGTTTACTAACATTTTTATCAATTACATACTTCTACTTTTTTTAAAATCAAATATACTCATATATGTACTTTAGAAAAATTATTGAACATACCCTTTGTTAAAATTTCCATATAAAAGTCTTAAAGGATATATAAGCCATATAAATTTCCATACAAATTATATGGGGTCATCGGGATTCGAACAAAATAGCTCTCGCTCACAGAAGGCTCTGATACCATATCAAGAACCAATTGGTCTCAATAAATCGAGTTGTTGGAAGAGGTTCAATTGTGGATCGTATATTGTTTACTAACATTTTTATCAATTACATACTTCTACTTTTTTTAAAAATCAAATATACTCATATATGTACTTTAGAAAAATTATTGAACATACCCTTTGTTAAAATTTCCATATAAAAGTCTTAAAGGATATATAAGCCTTAATTTGAACCCAATACTCTATAGGATTGAATTATGCTTTCCTTTCATTATATTTGATTATACTTAGTCTTAAATTTAAAGCTCCCCCATCTTTGGTTGTTGATTTGTAGGTCTTGGTATAGATTGATCTTTGCTACAGAAGTTGAGCTTTCATATGTTTGATTTTCACTCGTTAGAGATATTTTGTTCGTCTTTGTTCGCCAGCTTTGATCTTTCTTTGGTTCTCTCACTAGAGATTGAAAGACATTATGTAAATTCCCATTTTTTTAATAGTTGTACAATTCCCCTTCTATGTTATAACATACACTTATATTGGTATACTCCAAGTGATCTAACCATTAAATGTACTTCGAAGAGTTCCGATTAATCTCAACGGTCAATTATTGTTTTTTATCAAATTGAGCTTCGGTGACTGAGTTTAGAGAATCGAGGTCTAGAATTTATCCATTAGAGATTAGGGTATAGTATCATACCTCAAACTCGATTTAATTCATTATCTAGATAGATATATCTCACTAGCAACACCTGGAGTATATTATACGCTAGGAGTACGCCAATCTGACTCTTAATATATATATATAATAGTAAAACAAATTATATGTGCATCCGTGTGAAATGTCTGGTTTCAATGATAAGTACTTGCTGTGTAGGTAATATAGGTGGTGTTATTACTTTAGTGAATCTGAATAGGGTAATTCCAAGCTGCCATTTCCAGTCTTCTGGAATTCAACTATATTCCTTCTAAGAATAGGGCAAAGTGAAAACCGACAGAGGTACATATGAATTCCAGTTGGAATGGTAGTTGAGAAGTTGTCTGTGATATCAATTTCTCTGTTTGGATGGGGAGAGTAAAACGTATGAGGAAACCCAAAATATAATCGGAAAATCGAGAATTTGGCCATCTTGCGAAATGCGACAAAGCATAAATATTTTCATTGTGTTCACCATCCCTTCCTCTATATCTCTTGTTTTCTCTTCAAATAATAAAATGGAATGAAACAAATTATCGTATATTGAATAAAATTAATTTCGTAACAGAAATAAAATCGGACCAAGCACTCTAACAGAGAGGATGGATGATCCATCTTGCAGTGTCAAGAGGATTGGAGGCTCTGCTGCTGATGAAGAACGAAGAACAGATGAAGGATGCAGAGCCTCATACGGTGACATTTGCAAAGAAACAGAACAAAGTGAAGTGCACCGTTTTGGCTAATGGCCTTTGTTCCAGTTTTACAGTATAATTTACATGTGTATAGCTCTTATAGGTCTATTTCATTTGTTAGTTGTAGTTACCGTTAAGTGTAATTAATCGAATGTATATAAGCTCCTTCAGCATTAATGGAAAGCTCAAACGAGCAATTTCCCCCAATTCTCTGATTCTTCTCACACTCGGATCCATTATGCATTGTGGTCGCTCTCCTCATCTCTCCGTTGTCTGATTCTGATCCCTTCCACCATCTCTCTTTTTCTTCTTCAAATCATCAAATGGAAAGCACTAATGAGCCTTGTGTTGCCATTATTTGCTTTGAGGGGGAAAAAAGGTGAGTGCGCCAAATTTTCTTACAAATGGAAGTGAACCCACAAAACTAAATAATTTCCTAGTACCTATTTTGAAGTGAGCATAAAATGATGAAAAAAGCAAAAAGAACCGAAAGGAAGGCCCAGTAGGGGGGGGGGAACCAATGATTCGACCTGCCCATACTCACCAACCAACCAACATTGAAGATTGAAGAGAGTGAATTGGTTTTTCAATGATTTAGAAGTACCTCCAAGACAAAAATCAAGACAACCTCCACCTCCTCTTTTTAGGGCACTTCCTTCAAATCACAGGTCTATCGAAACCTTATCCCACCAATTAGTATTGGCGCTATGCAGCAACCAATTACATCTTTCAAGCAAATTTTCTTGACTATTGGGGTCGATAGATAGATAGATAGATAACTTGTTATTTACAGTACTGTGCTTGTGGTCTTGACTAGTTAGCTATTTTGGTGTCATCTCACATTTCCGGTAGAGACCACCACCGCAACACAGCCAATAATGCACTGCCTCACTAATCACTCCTTTGATTTTAATATGTACCTCCAAGTCAAGTAAAGTGGATATTGATGGGACAAAGGTAAAAATCACGGTAAATTGTTAGGTTTGTTGGTAAAAGAATGGTATGAAAGTTGTGACCGGTCTTGTGTCAATAAGTCGAGTCATTGAAACAAATTGGTTCGTAATATGATATAGGAGTGATGTCTGAATAGTTTATTCACTAAACAAATAACAGAATAATACAATTTTTTTCGTTTTCATGAACAATCGTAATGTGTTTTTATATTCCGAAAAAATTCTTGAATACATTCTTTGTTGTTAGAAAATATTTCCTTCTTTAAAATTTACACCCCAAAACATTTCACCGTGGTTGAATCGTGGCTTGTTGTGTGAAATAAATGTCTATAATACCGGAATAATTTCACTTTAATATTTTTGTTTCTTCCGTATAGGTTAATACCCCTAATAGTTTCACTCTAACAAGACTTAGAGAAATAAATGGAGAACAAAAACTGAAATTTCTTTTCATATTTTGCTGTCATTTGAACCGTGGTTCGATCTTTTCTCAACTATTAATGATCATTTGCTTCATGGATTTAAATATGAGGGTTTTGTAATTTAAAAATTCAAGGATTTATCAACGATTTGAGATTTGTAACAATCCTTTGCTTGTTGAGATGTTTTATCATGGATTTAAGGGTTTGAGATTTAGAACTAAAGTCCAAAATTATCATAGTAACCTTTCTATTTGTTTGTTATGTTTATTATATATACACAAAACAAGGATAATACGTACGAAAAAGCATAATGTTGCCACAAGGACAATAATAATAAACGAGAAAATTTCGTTTAACTTTTAACGTAACGTATATCAGCTACAATACTGTGTTCTCCTTTTCAAAAGTAACATATATCAACATGTATTAGAACCGAGGAACAAAAAATTACACGTTCTATTAAAAGGTCAAAGGAAACTTGAACACAAGAAAGGGTATAAAAAATCTAACTCATGTTTGCACATTAATTGAATATTTATATTATTTCTTTGTTGTTAATTAATTGATATTTGTAATATACAATAAGTAAATGTGAGGGCAACCTTTAAATTTTAAAAGTTCATGAGGGTATATGGGTAAAATCTCATCATGGATTTGTGGCATGTTACAAATCCCACGTCAATATGTAGGATTTACAAGTCTGTGGGGTCCAGGATTTGGACCTTTAAAATCCGTGGGCCCCACGGATTTGGTCTCTAAAAAATACAAGCAAATGATGGATTTTCCTTAGATCCATAATGAAATGGATTTGGTACCAAATCCACCACCCAAATCCACGAAGCAAATGAACCTAACGGGTCGTTTGCTTCGTGAATTTGAAAAATGAAGGTTTTGGTAAAACTTGGGTTTTGTAAAACCATGGATATATGAGGGTTTTGGGTTCATTATGGACTTGAAAAAAATCATTGTTTGTTTCATAGATTTCATGATTGAATTGGTTAATTAGTTTGGTCATCATAAACGATGGGCTTCAAAGTTCATGATCAATTCCCACCTAAAGAAGTGGAACTTTCAAATCCGTGAGGTCCATGGATTTGGACTCTTAAAGTTCGTGGTACCCACGGATTTGTTTCCCCCAAATACATGAAACAAACAATGGATTTTGGACCAAGTCCATGATGGATCCAAATTCATTACCAAATTCATCACTAAATCCATCAAGCAAACAACCTCTAACGGGTCGTTTGCTTCGTGGATTTATCTATCTATCTATCTATCTATCTATCTATATCTATCTATCTATCTATCTATCTATCTATCTATCTATACTATATATTATGTCAATTCAAAAGCAATCTCTTGCCACATAAGCACTTGGAGGATCCACAATTTGCCAAGTTGGACAACGTTTTTACAAACAAAAAATTTAATTATTAATATATTTATAGAGCTACCTCTCTCTTTTTTAATATTTCCATTTCTTTTATCAAATTATTCTTTTTCATTTATCCATTTATTCTTTTATTTTTATTTTGATAATAAGTTACATGTTGATAAAATTAACCAAACACACATAAATAATAATTTTTTTTGTTAGTAGAAAATATATAAATAAAAAATAGAAAGTGACATATACCACATTTTTTTAAATAAAAAATTTCCGATTAAACATTATGAAGAAAATTTTCTACTAATATTTTATAAAATTGAACGATAATTTACATTTTGATGAAAAAATTAAAAAAACATACACATAAAAAAATTAGTGATTAAATAAAAAATATATGAAAAGTGAAAAAAATAAATATTTAACATTCAATTACCTTTGAAAAATAAACTATATTATTACTTTACTTTATATATATTGGGCAATTCAAAAGAAACCTCTTGCTATATAAGCACTTGGAGGATACACAATTTGCCAAGTTTGATAACTTTTCTAAAAACAAAAAAATTAATTATTAATATATTTATGGAGCTACCTCTCTCTTATATAATATGTTAATTTTTTTTGCTTTAATAATAAATTACATGTTGATAAACTTAACCAAACACATATAAACAATAATTTTTTGGTCCAGTAAATAAAATATAGATAAGAAAATAGAGTGTGACATATACCACATTTGTTTAAATAAAAAATATTTGATTGAACCTTATGAAGTAAATTTTCTACTCATTTTATCTAAAATTGAATGATAATTTACATTTTGATGAAAAATTTCATTAAACTATACCCGCTATTATTTGATTATTGTATAGAAAAGAACCTTTTGTCGAGAAAAACATACACATAAAAAACAATGTTTTATATATATATGAAAAGAGAGAAAATAAACATTTGACATTCAATTACCATTGAAAAATAAACTATATTACTTTATATTTTGTTGTAATGAAATACTCTCTTATTCGTAAATGATGTCTATAAAATAAAACAAGTATTATTTAGCAAAATGTCAGCGTATAATCTTGATTGAGTAATTACAATTATTTATTTTAAAAAGACTTCTTATTCATTCATATCATGTTATACCTTAAATTCCTCATATGAAGAGGAATCGCATATACAATAATTTTATAATGTGTCCTAAGTTCACATTAATAATATTTTTTCTATATCATGTTGATTGACCAAGCTCTATTGAGGTTCTAAGTCGTATGCTAAGAAATTTTCTTTCAGACTTGGAGTTATCCTCGACGATTATAAATCAAAAATTTCAAAATGACCAAAATCATCAACTACTACTAACCTATACATTTACCAAATAAAGGTTGACGATTTTTAGTAAGATAGTCAATTGGGATAAACATATTTATCCAGCAATCAAGTGTCTTTATCAAATAATCTTAACTCTCAAAATTGGTTGTCAGTTCGTCCAAACTCGAAAAACACGAATTGATATATGTTGTATAAGATAATAAGTTAATGCAAATAATCAAATGAAATCCACCGATATTGTTCAAATGATAAGACATTTTAAATGCACTTGAAATATGTTTGTATTATAGACACTCTTTATCAATTATTAATACATAAGTGATAAAATCTTTGAAAATTACACATTCAACGACCATGTTAAGACCAAAATTCCCGATAGTGTGTGTGAGTGTCTTAGTTTGAGATTCTAAGCCAACATATAAACAATGACCACGGGTGGAGATTTCATCTAAACTTCAAAATTAACAATTGATACATCTTGTATAATATACTAAATTTATGTATCTTGATAAAAAAAACATCTAAAATGGAAATGATTCGAGATTAGAGAATTTAATCATCATGAGGGCTACAATGTGTCTCAAGTTTGAATATAAATGAATAAATTGATCCAATAATTAAGTATCTTTACTAAGAATTTCTCACTAAAAAGTCCTAATCTTTACAACATTGGTCGAAAGTTCGTCCAAACTCGAGAATCACGAATGTGTATTGGATTTTCAAAGGACCTAAAATCACAATCCCTTTTGGGGACTAAATATCTCTTATCACAACCATAGGTGCCAAACAAGAATGAAAAGAAGCCCCAAAAAATCAAAAAATAGCATAACCTCCGATACGATGAACATAATAAAACCATATCGAGCTATAATCCTGCCAATCCTACCCTTTTATTCTCCATAAAGGGGGCGGCGGGAGGTGATAAGAAATAAATGGCAGGATCTTAGGATTTTCCTCTTTATATATTACATATTGAACGATACACAACCCAAATGGTTGTCTAGCGTTATGGAGGTAAAAGCAAGATCTCTATCTCGGAGGTGGGAGATAGGCAAGTAGCACTTTTAATATGAGTATTATGGGAGATAAGATAGGTCTGGCAAAATATCTTAATAATTTTGAGTATACTACACACATATATATATATATATATAAATAATATCAAGGTATACTGTACTTTTGATTTTATGATTAGAAAACCGAAGCATCAGAAGTGAGTGTGCTATATATTATAAATTTTCAATATAGACATACTACAAACTCTGTTATGAATCAACACAAAATATTTAGAAGATCCAAAATGATTTAAACATATACATAAGTTAATTAATATAAATTATAAAATAACTCTCTCCGGCCAACGGGCCGGGTAAAAAGCTAATTTGAAAAATAAAAGTTTTGGTAAAATTTCGATTTTGTAAAAACATATATATAAATTATATGTAAAGCAGCTTAGTTCGTACATTTTACGATTTCACAACAATTTATCTATATAGTGCAGTTGTACGATAGTATTTTCCAAATGTTTTTATTATCATCTATAGACTTTAAGTTTCTCGTTCACCTCAATTTGATAATTTAATAGCGTTCCATTTTTTTCCTTCAACAGAAACCTCCCCAGGCCCCCCCAAATCAATATTTTCCAAATTCTAATTCTCAATTATAAAAAAGCTGCATATCGTAACCGCCCAAACCAAGCTGATCACACACATATAACAGCCGAAAGATTTCCCCCCCTTTTTTTTGGCTGTATATTCTTTTGTCTCTCTACTCATAAACCCGCTTCACAAATGAAGTCGTTGATGCCCATTCTGTAGCAGTAAAGTGAGTCGCCGGCCGGCGGCCATCCTTCAATAGTTTTCCCACCTGCCGGTTGCCCCCACATGCATTTAAATATGAGCTCTAGCTCTATTATCTCCACGACTTCCTCCATCTTTTCCATGTCCTTTTTTCCAGGTTTTGATTGTCTCAGTTGTAGCCTGTAAGCTAGCGAGCAGCAGCAGCAGCAGAAGAAGTAGGGTAATCGTACATTCGTTGGTTGAGACTTTATCTAATACTTCTTCTGTGGGGGAAACCAGAGAAGGACCATGAAAGTCTTCACTCGTGGCTCCAAGTTGCAAACTTAATTGATTGGTACTTTGGCCTTGCTTGGACAACCAACACCCACTACTATTGCTCTTGTGACTTTAGTAGAGTATGAGTAGATGCGTGAATACGGTGGTGGTAGGGGTAGAAAAAAAAATGGGAGACTTGATCTAATCATTGGAGAATCCATTCTTGTCTCCCATAGAACATATTATAATAAGTTGTTTCGTGACACATGTTATAAACGCGCTGTTACGGATCGGGAAATCGCCAGAATCGATAAAACAAGAATACGAAAGCGAGAATCGAAAAACACAGACACACGATTTACGTGGTTCACTAACACGATGTGTGTTGGCTACGTCCACGGGAGAGAGAGAGCCAGTTTCACTATATCGAGGAGATTACAGATTACAGAGGAGTATGAGAAGTATTTATAGTACTTCTCCATGTGGGTCTAAACCTAATTCAATCGATTACCAGTCGTAGCGGCTGATAGTCCGATTCAAGTCACATCAACAACACACTTTACAAAATTTAACGTTAACATTGTAGCAATACTGTTTGGAAAATATGAAATCGATCGAACTGAGATGAATCGAGGTTGAAAAAGTGTTGCACACCGCGGCTTGCTATTTCCGTACCGAGGAAGTTAGTTATCTGTTGCTTTTCAATATCGTTCTGGTGGTGGTTTTGAAAACCGACCATTCGAAGAAAATGTGAGGAGGAGGGCTAATGCGTACTACTTCCGGGCCAATCTCTGTCTGCAGACGCCGCCTCAGTTTGGAAGTTGGGGGGGGGGGGGAATCGAGCCAATACACACAAAAATTTTGTTCACAATCCAAGGCAAACTGTCGTTGAATGTGATCGGATTCAGTTTCGTATGTGGACCACAATTTGAATTTCGTTTTAGCACAACCCAATACGTAGATATAACGATATACCAACCTATGAATACTTGATAAACTCATGAAAGCGGACTGATTTCGACCTAACGCTCGTTTCTTTACCCCCTACTATAGTCTACATATATGGTACATTTGCTCCTGTGCGTGATAATGGGGGGTTGTACATACAAATAAAGAAACCATCATTGTATGAATAACGAGCCCGAGGCATATGGAAACAAAAGAAATCACCAGCTTGAGGTAAAAGGTGTGTTCAATGGTCCCAACCTATATGGGTCCAAATTGGTAGTCACCTAATCAATCTGTACTAATTTGTAATTTTCTTTTCCAGTTAGGTTCGATTCCGATTCTGATTCTCAATCAGCTAATAATAAACCAATCTGGGGTTTATTCTTCTGTTACAGAAACAGGATCTAGTTCTGATACCATTTTCATCCACATCTATCTTCCCTCTCTCTCTCTCTCTCTCTCTGATTTGCTTCTTCCTGGGATTTAATTTATGAACTGTAGGCATTCAGTAGGCTCCACTGGATCTTCTTCTTCTTCATCGTCGAAGACACGAACCTGTTGTAGGTTCAGGCCAAGTGGGCAACAAGGCTGTGGTGGAATAAAACTGGAACCCCATGCGCCTTGCTTTTCAAACAATGGTCCCAAATTAGCCCCAAAGTACAGTAGTCTGCTTTCTGCCTTTCTGGGCCGTAGTCGGCCCACACAAGAGGGGGGAAAAGCGAAGGCAAGGTTACAAACTTTCCGCGACAGTGTCGCCGGCTCGCCGCCGACGATAAGCTTGCCCCTTTCGCGGGGCTGCCGGGGGGTTGGGTGGGTCGGCCGGCTGGCCGGCCGGCGCGTGATACGCATTCGCACTTTTATGTTGTTTGCTTTGAGCTCGTGACTTGGCGCGGCTGAGTTTATCAAACCGGGGGTTAGTTTGAAATTTCTACCGGCGGTGCGACAGATGTTTTAAAACAACGATTAATATTGAGAGTCATAAAATAACTGATCGTAAGGACAAATCAATAATTCAAATTGTTGATAGAGACTCGTGTATTTATCTTAACCACTTCCTGATAGAGAATGAAGGGAACAAGAGCTAAAAACACACTTGTATTACATTGAAGATACTCGAGAGTCGGGGGAGGGGGGGAATTAAAGAAAAGATTAATCGTCGTTCTCGTACTTTTATAGATAACAACAACAAGATGTTCTGAACTTTTGCTTCGGTTAGCTATAGTAGACGTAAAACACTTGCTTGCCTAAATTCAATCAAACGTTTCTCCAATGTGGCACAAGTGTACGTGTTTTTTTAGTTCTTCTTCCTCTTTCTATCCTACGAAACTTTATGTCATAGGAGAGAAGATACTATTAGGAGTGTCAAGTAGAGTCTATGTCTACCATAAGTGACCAATGTAATAAGTCTTGACAAATGCCAATGGCGCCATGCGAATAAGGGCTTGACCTCATCTTGAATCTGGAAGTCTAATATTCGAATATTTTCAGAAGCACTTATCTATTAAAATCAATCTATTTTATCCTATTATTAAATTTAAAACAAAAAAACAAAAAAACCATCCCAATGGCTCCATCCACGGGTGTGGATGATGAATGATAATTACGAGCCGCGAAAATTTCTCCGCGATTGGCAATTAATTGCCAGAAAATTTGGCCTTTTGCCTTTGCTCATCCTTCTCCGCGATTGGCAATTATTTTCAGCTAGATTAGCCACACTGCTCAGTGCTCACCTCTCTCACTAGTGTGCTGTTTTCCAATCATAATCCCTTTCTCGCTTACTCTAATCAAAGGGTATTGACGTTTTAATTGTCTCTGTCGTAATTATTTGACCGGCGGCCGTGTCATTATGGCTTTCTAGTTTCTCAGTCAACTTTAAGATTTCCCGCCGTTCAAGATCCGATAACAAACTAATCCCCCTTTTCTCTTTATTAGTTTCCGATTAGCGTTTAATTAATCGGCATCAATGGTCCAGCACAGGCCATTATCATATCAGAATACGGAATTGTCATCATTTTCTGTGGTTGTAAATTAAAAAAAAAAAAGAATGAACTATATAGTCTAGACCATATTATGACCTTATATTTGGAACTTGGCTTGTTGTGGCTTTCATCTTTGTTATGAGGTAGGATTTAGGTATAAGAATTAAACATGCATGATAGAAATTTAAGGTTTCTATCATCCATGTTCCCCCCTGCTTCTTAGCCCTGTTTCCGATTTCGTGAATCAAACAAACTGTTAATTTTTAGTCAACATGATATGCTTGGTTTGAACCGGATCATATAGATGTAAGTTAGTGTATACCTTACAACAAAGGGTATTATCCTTGATATGTGTACTAATCCCTTCATTTCGATTATCGGCAATATATTTAGTGAAGTCTGAACCAAATCGGTGTTGGAGCTGTTGAAGGTTGAATCCTTGCTGCATAAGGATTGAAGGAAGGCGCCAAGTTCTGCTGTTTGATTTGAATCTGTCAGTTTAGTCAAAACTGCGTCGTTTGTCTTTGTGTCAAGTCAGTACCTAAGTTCTAGTTTGGTACAAATAAGTCATGCATTGTTACGTGGGCTGTTAGAGAGTTTATAGCTTAATTAGTTAGTAGTGATTGATGGAGATCAGGAGTATGGAGGTTAGTGCTGTTGGTAGTGACCGAGAATTGTGGTCTACATCAACGTCTTTATATTTGCTTCTTTACTTTCAATAAAATACTGTCAGATCTCATCACATTGTGTTCAACATTTGGTATCAAAGCACTTGAGCAAGCTGTAACCATATTTGAGTTGAGAGCTTTCAAGCTACTGTGAGATTGATTAAAGAGTGAAATTGAGTGGTTGGCAAGATCTGGGTTGGGAAACACGAGAGCATTGTGGTAAGGAGGCTATTTCAAGGGTGAGAAAGTGAGTGTTGTGCAGTCATGGGTGATGCTTCTGGTTTTGCTCAGGTTGGTTTGCCAAAGTTCGATGGAGACTATGATCATTGGAGTCTTTTGATGGAAAACCTCTTGAGATGCAAGGAGTACTGGGGCGTTGTGAGTGATGGCATTCAAGAGCCAGCCATTGGAGCTCAGTTGTCTGCTGTTGAATCCAAGTGTCTTGATGACCTCAGGCTTAAGGATCTCAAGGCCAAAAATTATCTGTTTAGCTCCATCGACAAATCAATCCTGAAGACTATCACTAACAAGGGGACTGCAAAACAACTCTGGGATGCTATGAAGACCAAATACCAAGGCAGTGCTCGTGTCCAGAAAGCTCAGTTGCAGGCTCTAAGGAGGAACTTTGAAGTTCTTAAAATGAAAGAAGGCGAGACAGTCACTTCATACTTTAGCAGAGTTATGGTGGTAGCCAATGATATGAGGAACTGTGGAGAAGAGATGCCTGATGTGAAAATAGTGGAGAAAATCTTAAGAACCTTGACAGAACGTTTCAATTATGTGGTGTGCTCCATTGAGGAGTCCAAGGATATTGAAACATTGTCTGTTGATGCTCTTTACAGCTCACTGCTGGTGCATGAGCAGAAGTTTCACACGAAACCTCTGATGGAAGAAGATCGGGCTTTAAAAACGTTTCATGAGTATGGTGGAAGAGGAGGAAGAGGAGCTGGAAGGGGTAGTTACCCTGGAAGAGGAAGAGGTAGAGGAGGAAGGGGCTGGAATAGGGAGAATGTTGAGTGCTTTAAGTGTCACAAGTTAGGACATTATCGCAGTGAATGTCCTGACTGGTACACAAATCAACAAGCCTATTATTCTAGCTCCTCCCACCAAAATCAGAACAGAATGAGTGATGATGTTTTGCTGATGGCATTCCTGGAAGAAACTCAAGTAGTTGGAATGGAACATTTGTGGTTCCTGGATTCTGGATGTAGTAACCACATGAGTGGTGACAGAAAGTGGTTTGCAGAACTGGATACATCATCACCTGCACCTGGTAAAGTGGGGTTGGGGAATGATAGTAGACTAGATGTGGCTGGTAAAGGAATTGTGAGACTGCAGATAAATGGAGTCTCTCTGGTGGTCCATGATGTTTTCTTTGTTCCAGGTTTGAAGACAAATCTGTTAAGCATGGGCCAACTGCAAGAGAATGGACTGGAATTCCTAGTCAGAAGAAATGAATGTAAGATCTTTCACGAGGACAAGGGTTTTCTGCTGGAAACAAGGATGCAAGCAAGCAGGATGTTTGTCTTGCAAGCTACTTCTACTAAGAAGGTCATCTCTGCAAATCTCCAGTGCTTACAAGCAGAAAAGGCCAAAGAATCTTCTTTGAGTCTCTGGCACAGGAGGTTTGGCCATTTCAATCCACAAGGGCTGCTGCAAGTACAAAGAAAGCAGTGGGTGCAAGGCATGCCAGAACTAAAGGGAGAAGTGGGAGTGTGCTCCACCTGTCAAGTTGGGAAGCAGACCAGACAACTTTTTCCTCAGAAGAGTTCATGAAGAGCAACTCAGAAACTCCAGTTACTTCATGCAGATCTTTGTGGCCCCATTACTCCAACTTCAAATGGGGAAAGAGGTACATTCTTACTGTGATTGATGACTTTAGCGGGAAATTATGGGTTCATTTCTTAGCTGCTAAGTCTGAAACTTTAGATTGGTTTAAAAAGTTCAAGCTTCAAGTTGAAAAGGAAATGAACCTATCAATTCTATGTCTGAGAACTGATAGAGGAGGTGAATTCCTTATGAATGAGTTTAAGGATCTATGTGATGAAACTGGAATCAAGAGACAATTGACAGCAACTCTCACTCCTCAACAGAATGGAGTGGCTGAGAGAAATAATAGGACCACTATGAACATGGTTAGATGTATGTTAAAGGATACAGGAGTTCCAGCTGTGTTTTGGCCTGAGGCTGTCAATTGGACTACACATGTGCTCAACAGAAGTCCAACTGTATCCAATCAAGGCAAGACACCACAGGAGCTTTGGACTGGAGTTGCACCATCAGTAGCACATTTCAGGGTGTTTGGTTTTGTTGCTTATGCACACATACCAGACCAGCAGAGGAAGAAGCTAGATGATAAAAGTACATAGTGTCATTTCCTGGGAATTTCTGCTGAATCCAAAGCTTATAGACTCTATAACACTCAGACTAAGAAGATTATAATAAGTAGAGATGTGGTTTTCGATGAGAGCAAGGGATGGAGGTGGAAATCACATATTCAACCTGTTCTAACAAAGTTGTACTGGGAAGGAAGTGAAGATGATTGGAGTGATTCTGATGGTGAAGAAGGACCAAATGCAGTTGACCACACTGTTGAAGAGGAGGAACCAGCAAACCCATCTACCCCAATTCAAGCTTCTGACTTGCATGATACTGATGATGATGAAGGAGATGCACACACTGATGTGTTGGGGCTGCCCTTAAGCTCTGATCTTGGTCCTAGGTCCAGAAAACCACCCAGTCATCTGGCTATATATGACTGTGGTCATGTGGACTTCCTGAACCCAAACTGGCTAGTCATGGTAGCCACTACTGGAGATCCTCAAACATTTGAGGAAGCTGATGGGATTGTTGTCTGGGATGAAGCCATGAAGCTCGAAATGAAAGCCATTGAGAAGAACAACACTTGGGAATTGACAGAATGCCCTCAAAATGTAGTTCCAATTGGTGTGAAGTGGGTCTACAGGACAAAACTGAAGGAAACTGGCAACCTTGATAAACATAAATCTAGAGTGGTAGTTAAAGGCTATGCACAAAGACCTGGAATTGACTTCACTGAAGTCTTTGCTCCTGTAGCCAGGTGGGACACCATTAGAGTACTGTTTGCTCTTGCTGCTCACCATGGATTAACAATTTGGTAGCTTGATGTAAAAAGTGCTTTTTTGAATGGTGAGCTCACTGAAGATGTATATGTTGAGCAACCACAAGGATTTGTGGTTGCTGGGGAGGAGAATAAAGTTTATAAACTAAAGAAAGCTTTGTATGGGTTGAAGCAGGCTCCTAGGGCCTGGTACAGCAGAATAGAGGCTTATTTCCTGAGTCAAGGTTTTGAGAGGTGTCAAAATGAGGCAACTCTGTTCATCAAAAGGGCTGGAGCTTATATGTTGATTGTAAGCTTGTATGTGGATGATCTCATGTACATCAGCACCAATGATGAGATGATCAAAGAGTTTAAGCAGTCAATGGAGGCTGAATTTGAGATGACTGGCCTGAGGAAGATGAGGTATTTCCTAGGAGTGGAGGTGATTCAGAGTGAGGCTGGCATTTTCATCACTCAACAGAAGTATGCAAAGGAGATTCTGAACAGATTTAAGCTATTGGATTGCAACTTCACTCACAATCCAATTGTTCCTGGTGCAAAGTTGACAAAGGCTGGAGATGGCTACCTTGCAGATCCTGCTGAATTCAAGAAGCTTATTGGAAGCCTGTTATACATCACTGCAACTAGACCAGATCTCATGTTTGCAGTGTGTCTATTGAGCAGGAATATGGAGGCGCCAACCAGACAACACATGTTGGCTGGAAAGAGGATTTTGAGGTATCTAAAGGGCACAATGAGCCATGGAATTCTGTATCGAAGAGGGACTGAGGAAGGGTGTCTACTGGGCTACACTGACAGTGATTATGCAGGTGATCTTGATGATAGAAGAAGTACCAGTGGTTATACCTTCTTCCTGGCAGGAGGAGATGTGTCCTGGGCATCAAAAAAGCAAGCTGTGGTCACTTTATCCACCACTGAAGCAGAATTCATTGTTGCATCCTACTGTGCATCTCAGTGTGTGTGGCTTAGGAGGGTTCTAGAAGAGATAGGCTGGCAAGAAAGTGTGAAGGAAGGAACTGTTATTCTGTGTGATAATAGTTCAACAATTAAGCTATCTAAGAATCCAGTATTCCATGGGAGGAGTAAACATATAGATGTGAGGTTCCATTTTCTCAGAGATTTAGCAAAGGATGGAACTGTGAAGCTGGAGTATTGTGGGACACAAGATCAAGTTGCTGATATCATGACTAAGGCTTTAAAGCTGGATTCATTTCTGAGATTAAGAAGCAAATTGGGGGTCTGTGATATTTCTAAGGTTGTAGGGAGGTTGGAGTGACGAGAACGATGGAGTGAACTGAAGTCTGATTATAGAAGAGGCTTCAGTTCAGGGGAGGATCTGTTGGAGCTGTTGAAGGTTGAATCCTTGCTGCATAAGGATTGAAGGAAGGCTCCAAGTTCTGCTGTTTGATTTGAGTCTGTCATTTTAGTCAAAACTGTGTTGTTTGTCTTTGTGTCAAGTCAGTACCTAAGTTCTAGTTTGGTACAAATAAGTCCTGCATTGTTACGTGGACTGTTAGAGAGTTTATAACTTAATTAGTTAGTAGTGATTGCTGGAGATCAGGAGTCTGGAGGTTAGTGCCGTTGGTAGTGACCGAGAATTGTGGTCTACATCAACGTCTTTATATTTGTTTCTTTGCTTTCAATAAAAGACTGTCAGATTGCATCACATTGTGTTCAACAATCGGACCATACCGAAACGAACTATTTCCAAGCCCAGGTGGCGAATGAATCTAGAAATATGCAACTTGACCAGCATTTGGGGATCATTTTGGCCAAAAACCCCGAATCTATGTATGATTTAGCAAAATTATTAGGAGTTGAAAGGAAGAAAATAAAATTGCCCTTATTCTAAGGACTGTCCGGAAAAAACAAGACAATCAGCCGGGACCCGCACTGGTCACAACCACTCCACACTGCCCAAAAACGCCGAAAACAGGGGCACTGCGGTCATTCAACAGACGGACCCAGTAGTCTGAAAGAAAAGGGAGTTGTGTCCTATACGCTCACAATAATAAACTCAATTTTGGTTAGCCTCCTTTAATTCCTTTTGATTGATGGTGTTTGTTTGCTACTGTCACAGCACGAGAAAATGTTTTAATGCGCACTGCAAACGTCGAGTACTTTCCCTATTGCTTTGCTTCTCCATCGGAAAAATGAGAAGTTTAGCTAGCTGGCTCAAATAATGTTATGAAATTTATGATGCAAAGAATTCAATGATCCTTGGAAATAGAATAACAAAAAAAACGATGAACGATTTCCCTATATTTGGGATCAACAAAATGAACCGTGCAACTCTCCCATAAGTCTAATCCGGTTAGTGATGGCAATTTCAACCCGCCCCGCGGGTATTACCCGACCTGACCCGTGATGGGGCGGGTATTACCCGACCCGCAGTACCGTGGGGCGGGGCATGGATATCTACTTTCGACCTGCCCTGCCCCGTTCTAGACTCATTTTATCTCAATTTCATACAATATCTATACATATTTCTCCTATTTTGACTTTTCTTTAACTAGTTAGAGTCGATCTTTCAACTTGTTAGGCTCAATTATTCATTCTATTATCAATCTTTTTCATTCTTAAAGTGTTTTCCCCTACGTTTTATTGTAAAAAGTAAAATTTACTTGTATTTTTTTTTTGAACAACATGTAAGAGTAGGTCGACCCGCCCCGCACCGTACCCGCGCGGGTTTTACCTGCCCCGACCCGTAGTAGCGTGGGGCGGAGAATGGGAATTGAGGTACCCGCCCCGCCCCGCCCCATTGCCATCACTAAATCCGGTCCAACCCACTCGGAGATATTAATAAAATTAAATCTTAATGTTCGCTGAAAGTTTTCTTTTAATGGAACACGACTCTGTTAGGTTGGTTACAGATTTCTGGTTACGCAATCCATTGGAAAAATTAGGATATTTTGTAAAAAAAAATCTCATGGACTCAATAACCTAATGTATTTTTTCAACGGGAAATTTAGGCGTAGATCTAATATATATTGTGGTTCACGTTGTGTTTTTTCTTGTGTACGATTTTTAAATAAAACATATATCGATGTATTAGTTTATAATGAATAACCTCTTTATTTCATTTCGGTAAATACTTATGGAAAACGCTAGACACAGTGGCGGAGCCACATGTGGCCAAGGTGGATCATTTGCACCACCTTGGCCCAAAAATGTGGAGTAATTATATTTATTTGATTGTTGATTGAATACAAGATCTCTATATTATTAAAGATAATTTTACGAAAATTTATGTTTTGTGATCTATATTTAACTTTTAATTCATATATTTTGTAAGTAAGTTTAATATAAACAAAATCAAAACTTAGTGGTGTTTGTTGCTATCGGTTGTCATTCAATTGTTGAAAGAACACTTACTGCAAAGTAAAGAAACACTTCTAAGTAAGATGAGTTGTTAAATCATGAACAATTTTTTTCGTATGGTATCTTAACAACCCTCATAATTTGCATGATGAAATTATTTTTGAACAAAATTTAAAACATGAGCACATCCTGAAATGTATGTTATGTATATATTTTTTTCACGTTTGATCCACCTTAGATGAATTTCTGACTACGCCACTTACTAAACATATATTGAAACAAATTACACTTCATCCAGTTTTAAGCAACAAACTTCTATGCATTTTCATGATTTTTGCTGCGATTAATTTGCTTC